GACGGTGAAATGGTATATCTATGTTTATCAAGTCATGTACATCAAGTATAACGTGTCATACGCTCGAGGCTGTCTCGATGGGAGGATGCAGACATGCAGACGTGACGTCGCTTTGCTTCTATGGAAAGTGATTCCTCTCGAGGCACATAGCGTCTGATTAGATAACGTAAATAAAAGAAATCAAATGGCATAAGGAATAAGATAATAATTCAAATAGTATGTGATATCTAGCTCATAGCATCAAGGAATTTAGCTTTGCTAAATTGGAAGAAACCATGAAAAATGGACTGATGAAGATAAACGCTGGAAAGTTTTTTGATGTCCTCATCGGCAGTGTTATCAATAGAGTCATATTTTCTGAACGTTTTACTGAGGTATGTTCATGTTTTAATGAAGACCGGAAGAGGCTTCTCGAAACGAGGATGCAAACGATCAAACATGACGCGTGTCACCGCTGTCACGTTTATCTCCCACTGATCATGAATACACGCTATTAATTGTTGGCACTGCTCTTCCTCAACCGCCCACTCATTTTTCCCCAATCCGTGTACAATAAAGGATACTTTGTGCGTTCAGGAAAATACTGCCGAGTTCTTCGAAGTAAAACATATAGTAGACAAGGAGTTAATGAGCTTAACAGCGTTTGGTATGTCGCTGGAAAAATGGACACTCCATCTACCGATTTTCAAAAGCTAATATGGAAAAAGCTCATCGATTCTCAAGAAAGACTTTTGGAGTTTCTCCAGAAAAGAATTGACCAAAGGCTAGTTTTTCTTCTCTGGTTGACATCGATTTCTCGCGCTGTTCGGCTTAGGGATTTGAAGGGGGCATTTTGCACTTCCGCCTAATCCTTTTGCTAATTGAGGTTCCACTATGGTGGGACCTGTAAACTCTTGTGGAGCTACGAAATGGTGCGTGTGAGCCATTTTCGCTACAGGAATTTGCGGTATTCGTAGAGCACAAGCTTCTCTGGGTAGGGTTGGTGCCCCCTACAAGCCGGACTGTGCCCTATCTCCACAGTGCTTCTATTCACAAGTTTTTTTGTTCCAGAAAAGAAGATATCGCATTAGGCAAACATTCTTTGGATGGAGATGGTAACGATTTCGTTGATGCCTTTCTAATAAAGATGGAGAAGGATCGAAGAGAAGGTCGACATCCTAGTCAGTCATATAAGTTAGTTTACTACACACATTTTGCTTTTACTAGGGAAAATAGCTTCCTGGTGAGAGATTAATTCTGTTGTCGCTTCAAGGGTACAAACCGCGATAGCCGGATGGGCGGAGACCAACAGCTAATACGGCTGAGGGGAGGGAGCTTCAATGAGAAAAGCATAGGGATTGTGGGTTCAACCCAATTCTCAGCCCATTCGGTAACAGAATAAAGGATAAAGTCTTCGCCGTTAATCAATCCCTTTGTGGAGATGCGGCACGCATTCTACTTCCATTCAAATCGCAGTGGCTTACTGAATGCGATGTGGCCTAGAGAATGACTCGAGAGGGCCGGTGTACTTATTCGGAACGAATCTAATACCAATTTGCCGTCCCCTGCTGGAAAAGGCTTGGTTAGCCTGGGCGGGAGGATCGGGGATTTAAACCCAGAACTGTGCGAGTAAGGCAAGCCTGCCACTGCCACTACACCACCTTCGATTTCCATAATAGTCGCCTCGATGGTTTTGAAGGTACAGTCCGCGCTGGTCCATGACCGGAGAAGAAAGCCTTCTTCTTTGTGCGTCCTTCTTCCCGGCGAGTCAATAAGGAGGCGGTAGCGGTTAATTGTTTCTGCCCACGCGACCGGGAGTGCTGTGCTTTTCAGTGGAAACCAAGCAACTGTCGTAAGTAAGCCAGAGTTTGTCGCCAGAGCAGTTCAGTCCCTTCCATGTAGAGCTTTGATGAAGAAGGCGATGACTTTTAACGAAGCGGTCGCAGTGTCCTTTGACGTCCCATGGGACCCAACCGGCAACCGTTTTTGTCCAACAATCCCCGCGGCATTGACGATCTTCACCCGCGAACGATTTGGTGAACAGGATGCAAAGTAATATTCTCAATAGGACAGCTGAAATAATCAAATTCAATTTAGGGAAGACGAGCTGCTTTATGATGTTTTCGATCTTTGGATTGCTGGTCACGAAACAACTGCACTTACTCTAATGTGGGGATTCATGCACCTAATGAAAAATCCTGATGTGAGAAATTTTTACGAAAAGACTGATTAGTTTAAATATTCAGGTTGGCGGGAAAGTTTTGTCACATTTTTTAAACCTATCATATCAGTCCTCAGATCGATAGCGTCCAATCGATAATAGCAGCAGTAATAGCCAAGGTAAGGCTGATCCTAATAGTAGTGCCCGTTTCACTTTTCACTCCCCTTCTACAGAATGGAGCACGAATTCGTACCAGACCGTGAGCACCTGCGCCACATCATCCTTTTTTCTTCCACTCCGGATCGAACGCGACAGCTACCGAAGCCAAAATAAGGGATGTGTATAAGGAGCATGCCCCCAGTTATCGGACGATCTTGCGGTGGTACCAGCGCTTCACGACCGGGGACTACAGCCTTGAAGACAGGTCAGGACGCCCATCAGAACTGGACATGAGGCAGCTACGGCGCGTACTGAAATCGGACCCCTTCCAATCCACAAGGGATATGGCGAGCACTCTTGACACTCACCATTCCACTGTGGAAGCTGGATTGCAGAAGCTGGGAATAACTAAAAAACTGGGCCGTTTTGTGCCACACCGCCTCAAGCCTGCCGACCTTGATCGCCGGGTGGATGCTTGTTTGACCCTGCTGACTATGCATAAAGGGTACAAGTGGCTGGACCATCTCATCACTGGGGATGAGAAGTGGATCTATTACGACAACTTCCACAGGAAAGCGCAGTGGGTTCGACCTGGAGAAGAGCCCAAGGAGACCCCGAAGGAGATGCACCCGAAGAAGGTTTTGTTGTCCGTATGGTGGGGTGTACGGGGTCCCGTTCATTGGCAACTACTGGATGAGGGGGTCGCCATCACGGCTGACCTCTACACGCAGCAGCTGAGAGATTTGAAGAAAATCGTGGATTTACGGGAGGGATCTCTCCGAAAAGTCTACTTCCAGCATGACAACGCCAGACCGCACACAGCACGAAGTGTCAAATCGGAGCTGGTGCAATATGGCTGGACAGTTCTGCCTCATCCCCCGTACAGCCCAGACCTCGCTCCTTCCGATTACTGGTTATTCTCCGACTTAACCCGTTACCTGGATGGGAAGAAGTTCTAAACCCGTGCCAGGTCTAAGTTGAGCTAGCATCGTATTTTGCCCTCGCGTGAGGCTCAGTTCTGGGAGGGATGGTATCCCATAAGCTAGCCTGGACGTTGGCAAGAAGTAGTCGAACGCAGCGGTGATTACATTTGATCTAATATGTCTCTATAGAATAATGAATATTCTTTTGAAAAAAATGTGACAAAACTTTCCCGCCAACCTATATCACGGTTGAGATCTGAAGACTTCTGGTACGATTACTTGGAAGTCAAGAAACATCGTATAAAAAATGGTAAAGGATAAAGTCTTCGCCGTTAATCAATCCCTTTGTGGGATGCGGCACGCATTCTACTTCCATTCAGAATCGTAGTGGCTTATTGAATGCGATGTGGCCTATACAATGACTTGCGGGGCCAGCCGATGTACAAGTCAGTGTTTTATCCTCCCAGACGAATCTGGTACCAATTTACCGTCCCCGGAGGGTAGAAGGCTTGGTTGGCCTGGGCGGGTGTCGACCTGGGATTCGAACCCAGGACCGCGCGAGTGGTAAGCGCGCCACTTGTCACTACACCACCTCCGCCTCAGGCACATCGTACGTTGGGGAATCTACCGCAAGTGTCGCAGCTGGTCGCAAGGAAATTTCATATGTGCGAGAGATAATTTTCCAGTTGTTCACTTTTCGTGGTTGTTCCGGTTTCGTGTGTGCTACACACTCCCGCCCATTCAACGGAAAAGTTTTGCAGAATCCGAGGAAAATCGGTGGGATGGTCGGTTGGGCTGGACAGGGGTTGGCAGAGTAAGAGTCTTGAGAGGAAGGGAGCTCATAGTTCGCTCCCTCCCACTGAAGATTCTTAGGATATGACCCACTGAAACTCTTGTTTAATTACGGCGCACCGATTGGAGGAGGCTGAAACGCAGCGCTGAACTTCCTCACCATTTGATGCTGTCCTTAACCGGCAATAGTAGGACGAAAAAGATGGCATGGTGCGCTTCATTCACCTTTTACAACATTCATTCGTTTGGAGAGATTGCGACTGTAGATCCTTTCCCTGTGCGGGTAGACAGATCCGATGCTGTAGAAGGGGAGCACCTAACCACTTCGAAGTGCGTCGCACAAAGTGGGGGCTAATGCCGTTTGGACGCGCTGTTTTTTGGCTTCGAGCTCATTTTCAAAAAGCCCAAATTACCAAATCCGCTGAAAAGTTCGATATAGAGGTAATCTAACATTTTAATTCACGAATATGACATTCATTCTTGCCGCTGGCGCTAATGGAGAACACTACGATTATCTGCCCTCTGCTAAAGCTGAACCCAGAAGATAATCGTAGTGTCCTCCATTAGCGCCAGCGCCAAGAATGAATGTCATATTTGTGAACAGGATGTTAGATTACCCTATATACAAGTTTTCAGCAGATTTGGTGAATTAGGCACTCTAAAAAAGAGCTCGCAACCAAAAGTCAGCGCGTGAAAACGGCATTAGCTGAAAGTGGGCGCAAGGGGGTGGGGGAAGGGCGGTGGAGGATGGTTTGATGTTCCGTTGGTCTCTAACCGCCATTCGATTGGCCATGAGCAGCTATGAGCGGCTCCTCAATGACG